TGCCGAGGTATCGGAGAATCGCCACTCCCCACTAGTCCTCGTTGGAGCACCCAGCATGAGGGTGTAGCTCCCCTTGATCCGCGCAAGGATCAAGTGCTCTCTGGGTTGATTCTTGACACTCCGTCGCGGCGAATCACCCAAAACTGCTCACAACTTGAGTTGGGTCACCCACAAGCTCCGCCGGGTGATCACCAAGCTCCCAATCACCACCAAGCCGTCTAGGTGATGGCGATCACTAAGAGTAACAAGCACGAACTCTCACTTGACCACGCGAAGCCTAATGAGAAGTTGGATGCACACTTGTCTACTCTTGATTCACTAATGAGGTTTCACTCTTGGATTCTCAAATCACAAACACCTCACTAGGACCTTGCTCTTCTTGGCACTCACAAAAGTGTTTCTCAATTTGTTGGAATGAGCAAAAGTCACTCCACACTCGAGTGGAGCTTCTATTTATAAGGCGACTGAAAAATGAACCGTTATGAGCTTCTGCGGGATGACCGGGGCGCTCGATCATATTGACCGGGCGCTCGGTCCAGTTCAACCAACATAGCAGATTTCAAAGTGATGACCGGGACGACGAGTGGTGGTCTGCAGTCAAGCCTTGGCACCGACGCTGTCCGGTCGATCTTGATGCTTATCAGAATCGACCGGGACGACTGGATACTCGAGTCCGGTCACACTGACGGGGACGCGTCCGGTCACACTTTCTCAAGTCTGGACCCTTCTTGAGTCGGCCGGACGCCGGCCCCAGCGTGGTCCCACACTGACTTCCAGCGTCCGGTCCTCCAGACTTGTTCTCCTCGATCAAATGAACTGACCGGACCACCCTGACGGCATCCGTCAGTCATGACTTGCTTGGCCGTCGTCAAGATTTGACCCTCCATTCATTTCCAACTCTCGATCATATGTGAATGAAGTTTGCTCCAAAGGATCTTAGGCATTCATAGGAGCTACCTAGAGCTAGTTTTAACAAGTGTGCACCACACCTAACTCACTAGACTCAACTAGGTCAAGCTACCCATTCATACCCCCCTTCATAGTACGGCCAAAGGAAAAAACAAAGTCCTAAACTACTCTAAGTGTCTCTCCAACTTCAATTGACACTTAGAACTAGTTATCCTTAACCTTGTCGTCCATCCTTTGAAAACCGAAACGATTTCTATCGTAGGGGCATAACAACCTCAATTGCCCAATCGATCTCCATTACCATGACCTAACTTAATTGCCTCTGCAAAACACACGTTAGTCATAGTAATCTTGTATTGACATTAATCACCGAAATCCACTTAGGAGCCTAGATGCTTTCACACCCTCTTGGCAGGCCGAGATCATACAAACCGGAGTCCCTCTTGCGCCATAAAGGTAACCACTAACAAGCTAGAAAAGGTCCTCATACTGAGCTAAAGCCAGAGCCATATAGCCCTCACAGCTGTACTTTAAGTCCTGGATGGTCACTTACAGATAAGTCATTAGGAAGAGAAATTTAGAGCATTTAGAAAGTAGCTAAACACTCTAGCCCCCTGTTTCCATGTTGCTAAAAAGCATCTTTTAGTGTTTATTGCATATACCATTAGTCAAGTTACAAGATCATGGTTTTGGTTGAGCACTAGCATCATACTACCTAATGCAATACCCCATAGGTAACAAGGCACGAGGTAACAAAGTACTAGGAAATCCTTAGTGGTAGTCAAGGTAGACACATGCAGTATGAATTAAATGATTAAATGTGTATAGGACAACACGGAAGATCCCATGCTATACTTGCCTTAAAACACCGATCCTTCGGTAAGCTTTAATCTTCAACGTTCTTCTTCTTCTTCTTGTTCACCATGTATATCTCACCGACTGGACATGATCATAAAGCACCACATAAGCATCCATGCAATCATACATGAAGCAAATAATAGATCTAAATTAGAACCGTACATCAAACATAAAACCAAAATGAAAAGTTTGTAAAACGAATCTACGTCTCGCTACGAACACACAGACGTGAAAAAGCACTCTAATCGGAGCTATAGTGAAAAAGATACATCTACCGAAAGATCTACTTATAAAAGAAAATATAAAACTATTAGCTTCATGTGTTTTAACTATATAAAAACATATATAAGATATTTTATAGATAATATAAATTAAGTCAAATTTAGATCTGAATTATAAAACTAAAGTAAAACAAATCATATTTTATTTATAAAATTCAGTTACATAATTATTATTCAAATTAAAGTTTAAACCATGAAATTCCAGAAATAGGGACATGACAAACATTGTTACTAACGCATAGATCTCGTTGCAATGAATCTAGCACAACTTGAACGGGTCAGTTCGGAGTTAAAACGTAGAAAATATGAATTAAACAAGATTTCCTATAGTAAAATAATAGATTAAATCTAACCTCGAATTTTAAAAGTTGAAAACCTACTTAACAATAGTATGAACATGTTGATTATGGAATTACGAACCTAACGTAATTTGAACGGATCAAAACGGAGTTAAAACGGAGATTTTATGCCTAAAACAAGACTAGTGGCAAAACTGTAAATAGCTGAAAACGTATTTTCAATCTAACTGAAACAAAGTACGCTTTCAAAAGAAGAAAATGAAGTCGAGAAAAACATTTTGGACCGTGGGTTAAACCTCAAGTAATTGTAAGGGCTCTTTTGCAAAATAGCCACGCGAAGGGGTATCGGGGATTCTAGACCGTCGGATCATGATTGAACGGCGCTGATTAGATCATGGAGAAAAGGAGAGAAACGACCGGTGGCTATAGTGCCCGGCGCGGCGGTCAGTCATGGGCGGCGGCGAAGAGCTCACCGGGGTCCACGATTTCGGCGATTACGGCTACCTTTGGACACGGTAAGACCACGGGGAGAGAGAGAGGGGAAGACGGAGAACTCCCCGTGGGGGTTCTTGGGGTCCAAGGCGGCGCTGCAGCGGCAGGCTACGTGGCGGGGCGGGCGGTGACCTTCGACGAGACTGCGGCAACGCGGCGCAAGCGAACCAAAGCAAAACATGGCGAAGCACCGGGCTCGGCGGGTTCGCACGGGCGTGGCGAAGCTCGACAGAGCAGTCGCGGTGGCGGTGGAGCAGCGGCGCGGCGAGGCAACTCTCGGCGGTGGCGGCTTAGGGTGCGTGGCGGCGCTAGGGTCTCTGGGACGGCTGCGCCTTGTGCTCGGCTTAGATGGGGAGGTGGAGCAGACGTAGGGCGGTATTTAAGGTGCACGGAGGCGTGGCGGCACGGCACGCGCGGCGTAATGAAGGCGGACACGGACGGCCACGGTGTCCGAGCCAGCCACGACGCGAGGAAGAAGAGGCGCCTGACGGGTGGGGACGGACTGTCAGCGGGAAAGCAGAGGAAAGAGGAGCGCGGCGCGCTACGGGCTGCTGAGCTGCGAAACTGGCCGCTAGACGGGCCGCTGCGGGAGAAAAGCATTTGGGCCGACTCGACCCACGCGGGAAAAAGCGGAGGATAAATAGTGGGCCTGCGCGGAAGAGCGGAAGGAGGAGCTGGGCCTGTGGTGGAGATGGGAGAAAGAGAGGGAGAGGGGAGAAGGTGGGCCGGTGGGAGGAGAACAGGCCGGCGGAAAAAAAAAACAAGCTGGGCCAGATGGCGGGTAGGAAGGAAAAAAACAAAGAATCCCTTTGCTATTTTGTTTTCAAACCCAAATTTAAATGTGAATCAAATCAAATTCGAATATGGTTTAAATTTCTTTGAACCAGATCAAGTTAAATATTAATTCAAATATTCTTTTCAATTCAAATACAAATGGAAAATTTTAGTAGGCTTTCAAAAATAAAATTTATAACTTTTTAAATTCTTTCATTTCCCAATTCTCTTTTATTTCAAAGCCATTTTTAATTTATTTTTCAAAAGCATTTTAAATTCATTTTGAATTTTGGATTCAACCACTCATTACAATAAATCAAATGCACCGGCATGTATGCACAACCATGTTGCTAATCCTTATGATGAATTTTAATTTAATGATTTTTTTTTTATTTTCCTATGTTTTCATGAGCACAAAAATTCAAAATTTCCTCAATTTACGCCTATTTCAAAAGGAGCAAATTTTAGGGTGTTACACTACATAATGATGCAGCTCATGTCTTCTTCAGACATCAATTTTTTCCACCATTTTTTATACTAGTAAAACATTTGAAGTCCATACCTGTTAAAGATGTTCTTGCATCTAATCACAAACAACCACCACTTCCTGCTGAAACTACATTATGACTAGAATACTTTTGTATTTCCAGTAGTATGTTCTAAAAAGTCTGCCAGTGCTACTTGATATGAAAGTAACTTTGAATCTCATATTGATTTTCAGGGAGTTAAAGGATAATGGCATAGAGTACAGAGTTTTATCCAGGTAGCTGAATCATGCATTAAGCAAACAGTAAATGAAATATGGCTGACATATTACACTAAGATACTATTTGTTGTCTACATGGCAGGACAAATTCAACCACCACCACAACTGATCATGACCATATTAGCTTGCGCACCATTTGCACTTAAACTGAGCAGAAGATATAAAACTTAACAGTACCAGCTTTGACAGACAACCAGCAGCATACTCAAGAATCAAGAAGATGGGTCATCTATTCTGCAGGATCTTACTTCAAAGTGGCACATCAGAGAACAGTAGGTCCTCCTAGGTGAGACAATCTAGAACGATCTGAAAAATAACAAGAACAACAATCATAAGCAAATTCTGAATCAGGATTTACACTTTAATGAGCTATGTGCTAGTAATAATTTCAAAGATTTAACCACAGTAAAATCTAGGTAGAAGCTTCAGATTTGAGAGAAATTAAAAGTAACTTAATAGCATGGTAATGCTAGATCAACAGATTCATATGCGTATTTAACACTGCCACTAATACAACGACATGATCTTTAACAAGTCGAACCGAAGAACCAAGATTAGGTTTGGCTTTTGAGTGCCATATATTCTGTTTGCTATAATGCTTACACTGCATCAAGTAGTCATTCACAAGCCAGAACCAACTAATAACGAAGCAAACATATGGAAGCTGACAAAGAAGTCCAAAATATAAGCAGGCGCTAGCATAATACCAGGAGTGTAGAAGCCCATGTAAGGTAGGACGCTTAAACCAGGGTTAATCTTGTGAACTTTCCTCACTCGCCCTGACTTGAGCTCCATCATGAATAATCCAACAAGTGTTCTGACGAAGATGACATCCACACCCTCTGCGAAGCCAAACACAGATGCTCCATCACTCGGATTTGCCATAGGCATCATTGTGTCCAGATCAATGACCCTGCACTGTACCCATTCTGCAGTTTCCTCTGAACTCACCCTTCTGGACCACAGATAAAGACTGGAATGCTCAATGCCAGCGAGCCCAAGAGAACACTCCATCATCATGAGGGTAACCCGATTGTTGTACACTGCCGATGGCGGGGGATTAACCAGAGACAAGCAATTCTTCCCCCAGTCATACTTGATAATTCCAGTATTCCCTGATAGCATGAAGTAGATTTCATCTCCAATAAGGGCACCACGCCCGTAGAGTTGACGGGCACCAATGCCTTGCCATGTGGCTTCCTCGCTCCATGCGCCTATCTCCGACGAATAACATGTTGCTAACATTGAATTAGTTGAGCAGTATCCGATCATTAAGACCACACAGAAGGGACCGTCGTGGCAGTCGAGGTGTTTGCAGCCAGCGGCAGCGCAGAACACCGCAGCAGCGTTGCAGATGTACCTGACTTCCAGCTGGGGCAGGCGATAGCGGACGCCCGTAACAGGGTCACAGACAAGGTAATTCACACGCCCGTCTTCAACCATGCCGACGAGGACGCGGCAGTGGCGGCAGTCGAGGGGCAACCCACAACGGGCATCGGGCGCCGGAAAAGGGAAGGCGGGCACTGCTCTGGTGGGGACGAGGCGGAAAGACCAGCCCCTGTTGATTTTCGGGTCCGTGTCGACGAGGCCGAGGAGAGGAGGGGTTCCGTGGAAGGCGCGGTAGCGGCGGAGGAAGGCAGGGTCAGAGATGGTGCGGAGCCATGGCTTGCAGACGAGGGCCGCGCGGAAGAGGCACTCGGGCTCGTCCGGCGGGAGACGGAGGAGGATCTCAGAGATGACGTCGCTGACCAGCTCCCGCGGCGGCGGCGCCATGGCGCACTCGTGGCTGGTTGGTGGACGGAGAGGGTTTGGAATGGGGAATTGGCCGATTGGAGAAGACTGAAGGAGAAGGCGAAGTGTGACGGAGAATGGGAGATTGGGCCTTCTTTTTTTTTTGAAGCAGTTTACGCTGACACACTGGGCATGCATGAGGTGTCTCAGCAATCGGCCCATTTCTATCTCTATTCTCCGGGCTCCGGTCCACAAACTGATGCATGACAACAATTCACAAAGGCTTGGACACAAAACGTGTGCAGATTGAATCCCCAGATTGGAATGTGCTCACGTAGCCAACCTGATACTTCCTCACCAAATATTTACACGGGTGGTAATTGGAAAATGTTAAAGAAAAATAAAGGCATGATTTTCATGTAACTTTTTTTTTCACCCCCCACTCTAGCTTTAGCACATCTTCCATGTTTTCAGGGCAGGAGGAGAAATAAACAAAATCTGAGTACTCAATTCAATAGCAACAGCTGAACACAGGAGCTGCTTCAATGTTTGGCATGGTGTTTTTACATGTTCAGCACAATAGGTGCTTTCTGATTACAAAGATCAAAAGATGTATAATTTTCTAACAAAACTTTCACAGCTGCCTTTGTGCAATCTGAATCAATAAAATTCAGGTGGGGAGCCTCCCCCACCACTGAGCCATCCATTTTCTAAGTTTCTAGTAAAACATGAGTTCCGTACATGACCATACCTGTTAAAAGTCGTCCTTCATATATTCACGAGGACGGTCGTGTGCTGAAACAAAACTAAAACTTTAATCTTCACATTTGTCATCCCCCACTCCTGTACTTCTGAAAGGTCTTACTACCATGTGGCACTATCAGAGATCAGCGGGTCCTCCTCGCAATCGCAATCTACAACGATCTGAAAAACTAAAATGCACAACACTTGTAATTCCAAAAGCTTCTATATGCAAGAAATTAACAGTATATTTTCTTTTTAAAAAATATGAAACAAGGTAGCATGACAATGCTAGATCAACAGATTTGTAAGCATACACCAATACAATGGCTTGGTCTTTAATAAGCCAGACTGAAGAACCAAGATTACGTTTGCCTTTTCAGCGCCATATATTCTGTTTGGTCTAATACATACAAATTACCAAAGTGTGTTTTCATTGCAACTAGTAGTTCATTCACAAGCCAGAACCAGCTACCTAAGCAAACATATGGAAGATGCAAATAAAGATAAAGGAGGCCAAAATATAAACAAGGGCTAGTACAATACCGGGAGTGTAGAAACTCATGTTGGGTAGAATGCTTAAGTTACGCCTAGGCTTGCCAATCTGTAGAATGCTTAAGTTACGCCTAGGCTTGTCAATCTTTTTCACTCTCCCTGATTTGAGCCCCATCATGAATAATCCAACACCTGTGGTGATGAAGATGACACCCACACCCTCTGCGAAGCCAACCACATGTGCTCTGTTTCGGGGATTCGCCATAGGCACCATTTTCTCCAGATCAATGACTCTGAACTGTACCCATTCTGCATTCTTCTCTGAACTCACCATTCTGTACCACAGATAAAGACTGGTATGCTCAATGCCAGCGAACCCAAGAAAACAGTCCTCCATCACCATGAGGGTAACCCCACCGTTGTACGCCATTGGTGGAGAATTAACCACAGACAAGCAATACTTGGTAATTCCAGCATCCCTAGCATCACCTGAAAGCTTGAAGTAGATTTCATCTCCGATAAGTGCACCACGCCCGTAGGCATTAATATCATCAATGTCTTCCAGAGGCAGAATGCCTTCCAGTGCGGCTGGCACGCTCCACGCGCCCATCTCCGACGAGTAAATGGTCGCTGACATGATAGAATCTAATAACCAGTTGCGGAACATGAAGACCACATAGAAGGGACCGCCGTGGCAGTCAAGGTGTTGGCAGCCGGTGACAGCGCAGAACACCGCGGGCGTCACAGACAAGGTAATGCTCACACCCGTTCTCAAACTTCCAGATCAGGGCGCGGCCGTGGCGGCGGTCGAGGGGGTACGCAGAGACGTTGCGCCACGCAGAGATGGTGTCGAACACCGGAATAGGGAAGGAGAAGGCGGGCATTGCTGTGGTAGCGATGAAGCGGGATCCCGGTCAGTTAGTGGGTCCACGTCGATGAGCCCGAGGAGGGGAGGGGCTCCGTGGAAGGCGCGGTACCGGTGGAGGAAGGCGGGGTCGGAGATGGTGCGGAGCCACGGCTTGCAGGCGAGGGCCGAGCGGAAGAGCCACTTGGGCTCGTCCGGCGGGAGGCGGAGGAGGATCTCGGGGATGACGTCGTCGACCAGCTCCCGTGGCGGCGCCGCCATGGCGTGGAGTCAGTGGTCGGCGGAGCAAACCGACTCGGGGCAGAAGATTGGGGATTTTTGGAACGGGGGATTCGCCGATTGGACAAAGAGGCCAAGTTGGTTAGTTCGTTCGCGAGTCATTTAGCTTGTGTGTCATTAAAAAAAAAAGTTTGTAATTACGTATAATCTCATATCTCCTACAACTTAAAAGAATAAAGTGTGAATATTTTTTGGTGCGATATTTGTTTTGGTTCGTCCGTCTGCCCACATCTGTAATCCCACGGCATCTTAATTACTGATTGATCGTGACATTCTCCTTGATTGAATATTGTCTGTCATTTGATAGAGGAATCGTGGTAAAATAGGAAGTAGAAAATTATTGTGCTATCCATATACATATTGCATGTTTACATGCAACAGCATACATGGCAACGAGCAAAAGGAAAGAGAATTAACACAGAAGGAAAGAGAATTAAGACAAAAGGAACATCTTTGCATTTTCTGAGAACCTTTCCAAATCTGCCTACATTTAATTACTTCCCCTCTTTGCATTTGCAAAAGGGACAACTTTTTTTCTTTTCATTTGGTTTCACGCTCACGTGTTCCATCGCCCTCGCTTGCTGTTTTTTGCAAGAACCATAGTTGATGTCATCTGTTTTCCATGGCTCAGCCTACCAATCCCAAGAGAAAGTCCTTACCTCTCCCTGACTGGAGATCCGGCCTGTCAGAGGATCTCCTCGAGTCTATCGGATAGCGTCTCGGGTCAGGCCACGACGCGTCGTCCTTCGGATCCGCTTGCTCCCCATGGCGCGCCGTCGTCCTGTTCGCGACCTTCGGGCCGCTCCTGTTGCTCCCGTTCGACCCCAACTCGGACCGCATCGGCTTCTACTGCGTCCCGGAGAAGAAAGTCCTGTCCAAGACGCTGCCCAACGTGCACGGCAAGGTGGCGTGCGGCTCCTCGTGTGGGTGGGTGGCGCTCATGGATGAGACGGCGTCCGTGACGCTGCTGAATCCATTCGCCGGTGCCCGTGCCCCCTGCGTTAAGCTCCCGCCAGTAGGTGAACACGTCGCGGTGGCGTCCTCATCGGAACGCATGTCTAGGGTCCACGGCCGGTGGGTTCTCCATCCCACCAACGGCTACAGGGACGCGGATGCCGTAGGCAGAGCCATCAAGCTAGAAGACATGAGGGACGTGTTCTTCCTTGAGATCGTGCTCTCGGCGCCGCCTGACGCCGCCGGCCGCGAGTGCGTGGCCATGGTCATGCTTGGGTGCTCCACGGAGGTCGCGTTCTGCCAGGTTGGAGTCGACAGCGCATGGACGCTGCTCGACACCAAACTGGAGTTCTCCGTGGGGTCCATCGTCCACTGCCAAGACAAGTTCTTGGCGATCGACTGCACTAGAGAAATCTTCGTCTGCAGTAGCAACGCCGCCGGCGCTACTCCAACCGCGACGCTGCTGCCGTTGCTGTCGCCACCTGCGGGGCTCTGCCACTGCAGCTACCTAGAATCAAACGGCGAGCTGCACATTGTGGGTGCCATGGTGAGCACGTTCCATGAGACACAGAGCTTCACCTACAGCAGCACGATCTATAAGTGCAACCTCCACGACCGTACGCCGGAGTGGTCCAGGGAGAGGGACATCGATGATCAGACACTGTTCGTGTCTAAACATTTCAATAAAAGCTTCAGTGAAACAAGTGTATCCAAGTACAAGGAGAACAAAATCTACATGTCCGAGTCATTGTATGGGGATCCATACGACTTAGTCCATCGACTGGAGATCGTTGATATTGCTACCGGTGCATCCGAAGTGAAGCCCGTCCAGGAAAAAATACATGGTTCCGAGGCTCTAGGTTGGATTCGACCCAATCTCTGAAAGCTCTAGAGTTTGTGAGCCTGCGACGCCACACACTCTGTGACTGTGTTAAATTCATAAATTTTGCTTTTTGAATTAAATGTCACTTTAACGTTGGTATTTAATTTAACAGTATTATTATCTCATCGTGCGATCCGTGTGTTTTTAAGTATAAATTGTTAGTTATCCTGTAGCAACGCACGGGCACGCTACCTAGTCTTTTAAAAAAAATTGATCATACATCGGTGCTATTGCTCTAAACTTTTTTGCCTTACAAGCTATTTCGTCCTTATTCTGTTTGTTTTTCGGCGTTTGGTAGCCCTTACAGGTAGGACCAGCCAGTGAAATTGTCCATGTTACCCTTGGCGGTGGAGACCGTGTTGCCTACGATTGACCGTCACCTCAGTTTTCTCTCTCTGTGTTCCTCCTTATCTTGTTCCCCCCTCCCATGACGACCCCGACGCTCCTATGCACTGCAACGCGGCTTGCATGTCGTCAGCACCGCGCCCAGTGGCCCGGCCTCGCGCCCCCGGCACCTCGAGGCCTCGGCCCCACCCTTTGCCCCCGGTGCCTCCCCCGCCCTGCGACCCCGGCGGCCTGGCCCCACGCTCCCGGCCCCGGCACCGCCCTGCACCCTCTGCGGCGGCGGCCCGGCCCGGCGCCCCCGGCGACCGCGCACGCTCCAGGCCCACACCAACAGCCGCACCCGGCCGCGTGCCAGCGCCTGCTCCTTGGCGACTCGGCCCGACGACCTCCCAAGTGGTCGTGCGGCTAACCCCGGCGGCCCCGTGGTCTCGCCCCGAGCCCCAGCGCCCCCCGACGGCCGCGGCCTGTGCTCCAACGGTCGCGCGCCCACGCGTCGGCAACCCGACGGCCGCATCCCAAGCTCCGGCGGTCGCCTCTCGAGATCCGACGGCCATGTCCCGAGCTCCGGTGGCCGCGTCTGGAGCTCCGGCGTCGCGTCCCGATGGCCGCAAGCCTGCCCAGCGGCCACGCGTTTGCTCGGTGGCCGCGAGCTCCGGCAACGACGTGCCTTCCCGGCGGCGGTCGTGACTCTCCCCTGCGCTCCCCTTCTTCTCCAAGAGGGGCACATGGGGAGACCAAGAAACTGAGGTGGCGGTCAATCGTAGTCAACACGGTTTCCACTGCCCAAGGCCAACATGGACAATTTCACTGGCCGGTCCCACCTGTAAAGCTACCAAACGGCGAAAAACAAACAGAATAAGGACGAAATTGTCTGTAAGGCAAAGAAGTTTAGAGCAGTAGCACCTGTATGCGATCAATTTTTTTAATGACTTATGTGTAATTATAAACTTTTTTAATGGCACACAGGTAAAAGGCTCCTCGTTCGTCCCTCGTCCGGAGTCTGGACCTGATTGAAGGCCTGATTTTTTTTGAGCAACGATTGAAGGCCTCTGATGACTGGCATCTAGCAATCGGCCCATTTTCCACAAAAAAGAAAGCAAACGGCCCACACAGACGATGCAAGGCCATAATTCCATCTCCCGAAGAGACTTCGGCACAAAACGTATGCAGGATTGAACCAAACAAAAGAAGACATGAATCCAAAGTGAACAGCGCCTCGTTCACTTTGCAAATCTTTTTAACCCGATAAATAGTATCACTTTTGTCTTATTTGGCAAATATTGTCCAATCGTGGACCAACTAGGCTCAAAAGATTCATCTCGTGATCAACTAAACTGTGTAATTAGTTATTTTTTTTACCTACATTTAATACTCCATGCAAGCGGCTAAAAATTGATGTGATGGAGAGAGAATGAAAAAACTTGGAATTTGGATGGCATCTAAACAAGGCCCAGCTTTCAAAGCTCGTCCAAACTCCAAACCTACTCCCTCCGGTTCTCTAAAGCAAGTCGTTTTGGACATCGACACGGTCTTTAAGAAACGACTTTGACTGTAACTTTTTGCTATAAAATATTTATAAAATATAGTCAATATTTACTTTTATGAAACTACATTTCGAGATGAAGCTACTTACATCACTTTCATATTTTCAAACTCAACCCAAAAGAAGTTATTTGTAGTCAAAGTTTAAAATGTTTGACTTAAGACAACCTTAAAACGACTTGCTTTAGATAACCGGAGGGAGTATAATGTTGGAGTTGGTGGCGCAGTATGCGGCAAACTAAAGTATTCAGCTTTAGTTCAACATCAAACTAAGTTGAGCATTAACTGGCTTCCACCGTTACCAAAGCCCATATGGTTACCTTTTTCCCTCAACAGGCTCGTTCGCTGCGTTGAAAAAACAAGCCGAAACACTGTTTCCGCTGATTTGTTGTGAGAGAAAAATACTGTTCCGGCTGAAAAAGGCGGATTATAAGAGAAGTGAACAGGGCCAATGTCATATCGGCTGCCACTTGCTCACCAAAATTTTACTCGGATGGGAACGATAATGATAGGACATAGGCGTCCGTCCGATCCGAACACCGTGTGCCCACTCCGCCTCTCTGTTGTCGCGCGCGCCACCCGCCCGCCCGAGCCAAGGCCGGTGCTGGTGGCTGGCTGGTGGTGCTCGCTCGCGCACCATCACTGGTGTTGGTGTTGGTGGTGCTCGCGAGCTGCCACTCGTCGCCAGTTCCGACCCCAATGGCTGGAATCGACCACATGTGCAAAACTATGTTTCAAGTGTTTTAGATGTTTCATAGTTATGTTGCTAGTTTTTTATATGGATGTTGCAAAAGTAGATTAGGATATTGCATATGTTGTAATGATTGCACACGTGCTATCTCTGTCCCCTAAAAGAATGTAACTATGGGTTGTGTGTCACTTTGGGTGCTTCACGTTTGACCAAGTTGTAGCAAATAATATTTCACATTTATGGCTCCAAATTAATTTATTATGAAAATACATTTTGGTAATTAATCTAATGATATTTATTTTATATTATAAATATTTATATTTTTTTATCTATAATTGGTCAAAGGTGATATACTAAAACATGATATTATTCTAGAATTGCATTCTTTTAAGGATGGATGGAGTATGTTGGGCTTCTGTTTCTAATGTTTTATCTATTTTCTTTCGGACGTGTATATTTATACGAATGTTAGGTATGTCTCACACGAACTCCCCCGTTCCACTTTTACCAGGTGCGATGAGTCTAAATGCAGATACCAAGACGTCCGCTGATGCCTCGTTCTTTCAT